ATATTTTGTTTGTGTTCTGACAAATAAAGCTTGCCTGGAGATCAGAGGTGGAGCTAGCCAGAGGTCTAGAGGTCTGTATAGACAGGAGACAGGAAGTGACCACATGGGGCAGAGACAAGAAGTGATAAGGAGGAGTGTAGACAGGATCTCGGTCCCCTTTCAGCCAGAGGATTCAGGGGTAAGAACTGACTAAGGCTGCCCCTTTGCTTCTCTGATATTTTAGCACTTAGCTCAAGATCTGACTTCGGGTTTTTATTGATAAGACCAATTAAGATCACACCTCAAGGCTAACCCAAAACTCTCAGAAATTCTCTTGTCTCAGCCTCCCAAGTACTGACATTACAAGCATTGCACCATCATGTTTGGATGGTTTCTTATTATGTTTTGTTTTGTTTTTAGATGGTGTCTCAAGTAGCCAGGCATCTCTACCACCCAAGTGCTAGGATTACTGGTAAACGCCACCATTGCAGCTTATAATACAGACAGACAATAGTCACTGAATTCGCAACCCCTGCTATAAGACTTTATCTTAACAATACCACAAAATCTTTGTCTTCAGACATGCTGATAATACGTAGATGTGACATTGGGAGGACTCTATTAAATTCAGTATAGTAACTAGGGAACATTTTATCATTCCTGGGTCCTATTTGAACACTGAGGGATCTATTTGGCCTTCTCATGAGTTCTCAGTCAACTGCTTCTCCTTCATTTCTGGAAATATTTCATTTTCTAATTTGTTTGGCTTTTGTTTTTCAAAACAGAATTGCCCTGCGTAGCCCTGGCTGTCCTAGAACTCACTCTGTAGACCAGGCTGGCTTCGAACTCAAGAGATCCACCTTCCTCTGCTTCATAAGTCCTGGGATTAAAGGTGTGTGCCACCACTGCCGGTCCATTGTTTTGTTTTTTTGAGACAGGGTCCTGGTATGTTGCACAGACCATTTCTTTAAAAATTGTTGATTGTTGTGTGTGTGTTATATGTGTGAGTAACAATGTCAGAGTGCGTGTGTAGAGGTCAGAGGACAACTTTTAGGAGTGAGTTGTCTCCTTCCAACATGTTTCACTGGGGACTGAACTCAGGCCATCTGGCTTACGCAGCAATGCTTGAACCCACAGAACCTTCTTGCCAGCCCATGAAGATGGGTTTCCACTAACCTCATTCTGCCTCATTCTCCCAAGAGGCTAGGGTTACTGGGGTGCACCACCAGTAAATCTTGGATCATCAAGCCCTGGGGCCATTATATTCATTGGTTTCTGTCTGTCTGTCTGTTTTTTAGCAACTCACTTTTTTCACCCTCACTTCTAGCTGTGTTTCCAAGCTTCTGAACCGTTCTATCTCAGAGGGACAACTTTAGTCCACGTTCTAGGGGATAAAGTCGATCCCTCAGCACTATGTGAATACTAACGGCTTGCTCACCTCCCTCCCCAACTGTCTCCACAGTTCTGACCAAACAGCTTTTCTGCTGCTGCCCGCTTCTTCTAACCTGTTAACTGAACCACCTACTGGGCCCTCAGGACCACCCCCACCTGCTTTTCCACCCACCCTGTCTTTCCACACCCTGCATTCCCTCTTCCCTCCTAGCACAGCTCAAATATCACCACCTGCTTGACAGCTGCTTCCTGCCTCTTACAAGCACAGACCTCCTGTGGGAGACTTCTGCCATCACTTTTACTCCCCGTGCCTCTGGCACCCTGTGGGTTTACTCATCTCATCCACCCTGGGACTGATGCTCCAGATTTAGAGATCCAAATCCAGGGAATCACAAAAGCAAAGACAGATAGACTCAAGTTATTGTAATGTAAATGTTATTTTTTTGTTTCAATTTTTAGAACCACCCTGGAGTCAAATCACAAAGATTTAAATATAAGGAAGGAAGGAACTATAAATATTAACAACCTTTACCATGTAAAACTAAAGTTACAGCTAACTGACCTTGAAAAGTAGAAGAGAGGGCTTGGTGGGGGATGTGGAGGCTAAGAGAACAAGAACCAACAAATATTGCTTCAAAAGCCATAATTAGCTGAGCAAGGTGGCACATGCTTGTATAAGCCCAAGACTCAGAAGGCCGAGGAAGGATACTAACAAATTCATGGTCATCATTTGCTACATAGCAGCTTTGAGGCCAGCCTGGACTACACCAGACCTTATCCCAAAAAGGAACAAACAGAAGCCGGGTATGGTGGCAAAAGCCTTTAATTCTAGCACTCAAATGTCAGAGGCAAGAGGATCTCTGTGAGTTCAAAGCTAGCCTAGTCTACATTGTGAGTTCAGGACAGTCAGGGCTATGTAGAGAAAGGATGTCTCAGAAAAAAAAAAAAAAAAAAAAAAAAAAAAAAAAAAAAAAAAGAGGAGGAACTAAAGAAATCAGGTATGGAACTCAGGCCTAATCCCAGCACTTAGAAAGTAGAGACAGGTAAATTATTGAAGCCAACCTGGGTTACATAGTGAGTTCTGGGCTAGCCTAGGCTACACTATAAGACCCAGTCTCAACGAAACAACAGTAACAATAAATAATAATGATGACAGTGATACAAGAAAGCATCCCTAGGAACTCCCTGGCCTCCACAGACCCTCAGACATGTTCCATTCAGCCTGCCTCAGCTTCTCACCTCAGAAAAGCCGAAATGGCCCTCAGTGCTTCACTGGCCACATCTAACACAGGACTGCTCACCGCCTCCTGGAGGGCAGAGCTGGCATCTCTGCACATGACTGAACTTGTGAACAGCCTGATCTCTTCTGGCTGCCTATGAAATGGTAGATGAGAAACGAATGAATGAATCATTCCTGGCCTCACCTCTCCTTTACCAGTCCCACCCCCATGTCTTTGCTTACCGACTCAGAATTTCAGCGAAGAGCAGCAGGCCCTGCTTCTGCAGTTCTGTGTTGGTCATCTTCAGGCTTTCCTGAAGGCTCCTGACCACAGCCTCAATTCCTACCGCAGGAAAACAGGCCACAGACAAAGGCTCAGTGCTCTGTGGTTCTCCCATTAACCACCCAGGAGAGGCTCTAAACAGAACATGCAAGCTATAGGACCCTTGTGAACTGACACTGACAAGGCTGAACTGATTCCGTAAGACCGGGCGGGACTGCAGATATTGCTCAGTGATAGGATGCTTGCCTAGCATGCTAAAAGTATGGGCTCAATCACTAGCATCTGGTGAGGCACAGGTGAGACCCAAGGATGAGATTTCCAAGGGCATGTCCTCATTTATTTCCCCTACATCCACACAGACTCCAGCACATGAGAGATTTAGTGACACCCTACTGATTAAGTCACATCTCCCCACTTAGCACACCCTCTTCTTCCTGGAAGAATTAGACCCTCTGGGCTCCTCCAGAAAGCCTTCCATCTGCATCCAGGAAGAGCTGTGAACCTCCCCTGAGCTCTTTTTGTTTCTGTTTAGGAGACTTTGTATTAGCTTGTATTAAATTTGCCTGTTTACACCTCTCCTTGGGAGTAGAGACCATGTTATATTATTTCTAAATTCTTGGTCCCAGTCTGGTACCAAACATAGACGAGAAACAACATACAAAAAGTGGACAGGTGGTGGTGGCGGCAAATGCCTTTAATTCCTTGCACTGGGGAGGCTGAGTCAGGCAGATCTCTGATTTGTGAGGCCAGCCTGGTCTACATAGCGGGTTCCAGGATAGTCAGGGCTACACAGAGAAAACCTGTCTCGAAAAACCAAAAGAAAGAAAAAGAAAATGCCTGCACAGACTTGTGTACAGGCAATCTGGATGGAGGTATTTTCTCAGTTGAGTCCCTCTTTCCAATTGCTAGTTTGTGTCAAGTTGACAAATTCTAACCAGGAAGAGCAGGAGTTGCAAGTGGTTGTGAGCTGTCCTGGGTCTTCTGCAAGAGAGCACACACTGTTAACTACTGAGCATCTCTCCAGCCACCAAATCTCTTTTTGTTCTGCTCCGACAAAGGCCCCTCTTTCTCTCCCAAGCCAGCTCCACTGAGTCCTACTCAAAATGGACTCACTGAGTAGAGGAGACAGGGAGGGTGAAGCCAATGGGCAGAGTGACTGGAGTGCCCTATTTAACCAACAAGTCAGCAATGTAGATGGTCAGTCTAGTTAGGTTACAGCCTAAGTTCCAAGGCTAGGCACTGTCACCCTGGGTGAGCATGGCTGGCCCTGGCTCCCAAAGCTGGAAGGAGACATCTCACCAGCACTGGGGCTCAGAGAAAAGAGTGGCACAGAGTCACATACACTCATCAGACAGAACACCGGCCAACTCCCAGGTAGGGACCTCTTGATGGCACATGGGACAGCATGTGTTGTGTCAGCCCAGTCAGCCCTGCCAGAAACTGTCAGAGTCACACTCCCAAGCCAAGGTCTTCTGCAGGCCAGAGCCATGGTGACCAGCCTACCCACAGAAGTTCAGAGAGGTCCAGTGACTTATTCAACATCATACAGCACCCAACATGCTTTCCTGGCACCTGCCAGGACTCTGACTTTGTTCCACTGTCGCCCTGGTCCTCTAGCCTTCTCTTCTTTGAAATCTCAAACCTCACCAGTCTTGGAAAGATCCACACCAAAAGTTTACCTTCCTTGAAAAGCCCAGCTGGGCAGTGATGGTGCACATCTTTAATCCCAACAGGCAGAGAGGAGGATCTCTGTGAGTTGGAGGCCAGCCTGCTCTACACAGAGTTCCAGGACAACCAGGGCTACACAGAGAAACCAATATATGTATGTATGTATAAATGTATGTATGTATGTATGATATTATTGCTTCGAGCCTAAAACTGTGGATGTGGTTTTATAGAACCCAAATAAGGATCATCATTAGTATGGAGGGCAAAGCACTGTTTCAAGACTCTGAAAGGATGAACTAGGAAATCTTGATACTAGCTAGGTGGACAGATACCCAGGGCATACAGAGGGCTGAAGCCAAGGCTGAATCTAACTGTTTGAAATCGTCCTTGCTGTGAAGGTAGACATCATTTAGCAGATAATAAAAATGCCCCATCCTGATGAAGAGTCTCAACAGAACTGCCTAGATATCAATGTTTTACATGGACTGAGTCGGAGTTCCACCCCCTAACGTGGATGCCAGCCCCTCCACAGCTGCCGCCACCCTTCTGTCCATGAATCTAGAGTCAGCACAGGGCCCACACTACCAACCATACACCGTATGACACTTGGAAAAGAAGAGTGGTTCTTCTGCCAGGAGGATCAAGCAATTGTAGCTGGACCAGACAAGCACTTCACTGGAAGATGAAAGATGCTCAAAGAGGAACTCTGGCCAGGGAATAAGAGAACAGTAAATGACAGCTGGAGGTCATGGTCCTTTAACTGACATGTAGGCTTTGAACGCTATCACTTCTTTCTCCTTTTGTTTGTCCATACACCCTTCTCACTCAGAAACTGCCAATTCCCAGATAAACCTTCAAAGTGTTCTCGGGGTCACAAAGGTAAAACCGGGGACCAGAAAAAGCCACAGTAACAGTGAAGGCCATTTCTGCTTGACAGAGACTGGAACCTCCGGTTTTCAAACTCTCAGGATGGGTAGATGGGCATCAGCAGAAGGGCTGCTTGGAGAATCAGCCTTCATTGCACGTCACGTCTCTAACGACTACTCTTGTTGATTTGAAATAGCATTTCCCTTCTCTGAACCTTAATTCTCCTCAGTAATCGTTCACAACCCTTCAAAATTGTGTACATTCCATTCTTCCCAGAATGTGTACATTCTGCCAAAAGGGTGTGTATATTCACATTGGTCTGGTGAGTACCATGTAATTGTCTCCATGTATGTAAGCTTGTGTCTTTTCTAGAAAAAAAAAAACAGTTCCCTAAACCATAAAATAATGATGGGCTGGAATGCAGCTTGGTGACAGAGTGCCCACTTAACATGTGTAAGGCCCTGGTTTGAATCCCTGATCCACAAAAAGTAAAATAACCAAGACGGGCACCAAACGTGTTTGACATCTGCAATAATCACAAGGCTTATTTCCTGGCTCCTTAAAGTTCCCAGACAAACATTTGCCTTCCTTGTCTTGGGTCTTTCTGCCACTCCCTGAAGGCCAATGAATGACAAATGTCAGTAACAAACTGCTCAAGACCATCAGATACCAGGAAGCCTACTTCACATACAGCTGACCTTAGCCCTGCCCTGTCCCTCAGGGATGAGGTATCTGAGATGCTCTGACAGAGCTGCTGCTGTGGCTGCAACCTCACAGCTCGTGTCAGAATTCTGGAGTCCCCAGGGAAGAAGATGAGAGGGCCCCATACCTGGGATGTCAGCATGAATGAAGGCAGCGGCATGCTTTGCAGGGGAGTGGACCAGCACTGCAGTTATACAGTGGGAGCTGGCCACCTGCAGGATCTCGTCCCTGGAGAGGAGAAACTGGAGAAACAGAGCAAAAAATCACCCCAGTCACATCACCAAGAAGACTAGGGAACCCAACCTAAGTGTCTCAACCAAATCATTATGGCTTCCAAGTCATAGTACCAGGCAAAAGGAGAACAATTATAGATGATGGAAAGGGGTCTCTGACTAACTCAGGTCAATGACACAATGAAGAACCCAATGTGAACTCCACCAGTGACAATTCTAAACTCATAAGCACAGATTCACTAGCAAAAGCTCTTATCCGGCCAGCCTGGTCTCCAGAGCAAGTGCCAGGATAGGCTCCAAAGCTACACAGGTAAACCCTGTCTTGAAAAACAAAAAACAAAAAACAAAACAAAACAAAAAATCTGATCATTTCAGCTGGGCGTTGGTGACGCACACCTTTAATCCCAGCACTCAGGAGGCAGAGGCAGGTGGATCTCTGTGA